TGAGAGGTCGAAGATGGATAGATTTGTGGTGTGCAGAGGGGTAGTCTTGGTTGGTGGTTTTTATGAGTCTAGGAGGCGGCTGGCTGAGAAAAAAAGGAAGACTTTGGGCGGTGGCTTGGTTTTCAAAGGGAGGAATCCGACTGCTTTTGTGCTATGGGTTGAAGCTAAGAGCAGTGGCTGAAGGAGGGGAACGACTTTGTGTTGTTATACAAAGGATATGGAGGGAAACCAAAAAGGGCAGCTTTTCATGAGGGTAGGAGACAACCAGGAGCTGAAGACTATGAGAAGGAAATGAGAGGCTTAGAAAGGGAAGGTCCGGCTAGGTGACTTTTTTTTCTCTTTTTTAAAAGACACCCTGCAATGGCGACTGACAGAGGTGGATTTAGGTTTAGGTTTTTTCAAAGGAAAAGAGGCGGCTACATGGGGGAAGAAAGGGTTTAGGTTTTTTCTTATGGTTTAGGGCTTTTTGTGGTTTTTCTTAAATGTGTAAAATTGTCCTTCTTGTTAACTTTTTCGCCCTTGTTGTGTGTGTTATGACTTTTATTTATAGACAAATTAGCATGGTCCCCAAAACACATTGATCCCCCAACTTCTTTATTTTTTTGACAATTTTGATTTTGATTTTATTTTTTGTATATTTGAAAGCGAACAGTATCAACGTCGACTCAACAAGAAAAATTAGTGATTGTAAAATTAATGCGTTAAAAGTTTAACGTGTTCAAAATACCTTTGAAAATTTAAACTCTTCTGAGATGATGTTGAAAATGCTAAAAATGATGCAAACATATCAAAAATGTATTTTTTGGGTGTTTTTATTGTTTTTTTGCTATTTTTGGTTTAAATTTCTCGAAAACATGGGTCGAAAATTGGTTAACAACACCTATATTTTATTTATTGAAATTAATTTAAATTTTATAGAAATTAAATGAATGTTATAATGTTCATTATAACATTATTTTACCAAAAATCTCCTATTATCCAAATATTAATTCAACAAGATAACCACAACAAATATTCCTTCCCTTTCCACACTATAATTTTACCTAATAATATTAACTTAATATTTTATAATTGTAATTTAATTTTATCCAAATAAAAGATAAATGTATATTATCTCTTCTCCTCTAATAATGTTTCAATTTAGAATTTTTTTATCACTTTTAAATTTATACGTGTCATTTTCTTATGCTTCAATACATTTAATATAACAAAAAGTAAAAGAGAAGGTGAATTCATTGTTTGCCTCCTTACATATCATTGTTCATTGAAATAGTACTTTGGTTGTTTTATTTTTTTTTAATTTAATTTTTTTTTAATTTTATTTTTTAATATTAGATTTATTAGGATTGGTTTTTTTGACGAGTTAACTAGATTTGAAGGGCGTTTTTGATCTTTTTGTAATTTTTTTTTTCAATTTCATCCTTTAACTTTATGATTGGTCAGGAATTAGCACAAATAGTTTTTCTAATTTTTTTTTACGAAGTTATCATGGTCTCGTGACCTAAGCTACTAGTTTACTATGTTAAATTGGCTTGACTCGAGATTTTTTTTTTCATCCTTCTTTAAATTTTTTTTCAATTTCATTCTTCAAGACTGATCGACTAAGAATTAAACTTTATAATTTGTTTTTATTTGCATTCAATAAAGTTATCTCAATCTTATGACTAGGATCGCAGATTAACCTGAGTTAACTTAAGTTGTTTTTTATGTCCTTTTTATTTTTTTAAAGTTTCATGCTTAAAAATTGAGTTGATTGAGAATTAAAATTCATAATTTATTTTGGTTTACTATATATGGGGTTATCAAAGTCTCATGTCCTGAGATATGGTTTTGGTATATTAGCTTAGGTTGACCTAGATCAATCAAATATTTTATTGCATTAACATTTCAAAATATATATAATCTTTTATTTTTTTAGTCAAATTATATTTTTATTAATTATCCTAGTTGCCTTTGGATTCACCAAGTTAACTGAGTTATATGAGATCAACCTCCACGTGGTTTAATTCTTTTATACTAGAAAACACATTATTTTTGCCTATAAACTTTTTCATGTTAAAAAACAAGTTCATTTGACTAGTAACATAGCAATGACCAATGATTTAGTAGCATTATATATAATGAAAAAATATATAAAGACAAAAAAATATTAATAAAGCATAAGAATCTATAAAAAAAAAAGTTAAACAAAATTCATAAAAAATAAAAAACGAGGAACAAAACATGTTATCAATTTGGTATTATTTGATGCATAGTTGTAAAACATTGCTTAGTCTAGTAAGTCAACTTGAAACTCAACCAATCTAGGTTGGGGTTTCAAAAAAATATTAACTTAGAGTTGAATTGATTTGACTTGGTTGACTTGATCAAAACCTGATTTGATTTTTTTATTTAATTTATTTTCAAAATATGTCATTTTGAATAAAAAAATTGAAATAATGTTTTTTAATTTACAAGGATCAACCCGTCCAACAAATGACTTGAGATAACTTTAATTTAATATCCTTCATGGTTTTCACTTTCTATTTGAGATTTAAAACTAGATTGGTGGCTCACGCTATGTTGCGGGTTGAACCAATTGTTTTTAAACATAAAAAAATGCTCAACATTGTCAACATAAAAAATTTGAGACTCGAGTTATTGACTTAATTAGGTTTAAGAAGATTATTAATTTAATAATATGACTAAAAAATATGCAATGATAGTGAATCAACCACACTAAAAAAAATGATAATGATTACATGCACAAAATAAATACTTACCAATATTATAAAAAGATATCTCACTAATATTCTAAAAAGGTCTCTATAATCTTCCTCGATAGCAAAGTAAAAATTAAATGAAATTTAATAAAATAATATAAAAAAAACATTTTTAGGTCATCTAACAATAAAGTAAAAGGATACCAATCAATAAAATATTGAAGGTTGAAAAGAAAAAATTAATTCTAAAAAAGATAAATAAACAACCCAAGTTAATTCAAGTAAATTACTAAACACACGATCCGGGTTATAATAAGGGGATAACCCCATAGGAAGAAAAAAAAAATCAAAGCTTAATTTTTAGCTAATTCAATATTGAATGATGAAATTAGAAAAAATAATAATTAAAAAAAAAATAAACAAAAATCAACCTGAGTTAACTCGAGTTAATATGCAAAATCTACTATCCGATTTATGAGATTAGGATAATCTCCATATAGTTTTTTTTTTTAAATACAAAGCTCAATTCTCAAACCAACTTAATGTTGAAGGGTAAAATTAAAAAAAAAATATATATTTAAAACATAATAAAAAGAACACCCGAGTCAACATTTACTAACCCTTCAAACTAGGGATTGAGGTTGTGTGATAAGGATAACTTCATAGAAAAAAATATAAAAAATTAGAAGCTTAATCTCCAACCAACCCAATCTAATGCCGAAAGATTGAATTGAAAAGAAATCAATTTTAAAAAAAGCCATAAAAAATATCAAAGTGAACTTATTCTAACCTTCTAAACTCAGTGATTTGAGTCATGAGATTGAGATTACCTCTCATTCAAGGCAAATTATAAAAGATCATAAAAATCGATTCTTAATCAACCTAATTTCAAGGAGTGAAATTGAAAAACAATTCAATTAAAAAGGATTAAAGACAAAATAAATAACAATAAAAAAATAAAGATAAAATTTGACATAAAAATAAAATAGCAAAACACCTTATTATTTCAATGAAAATTAAAAAAGATGAGAGAGAAAGATAAAAAAGGAAAAAAAAAAACCTTCACATGTGCCGCATCACTTACTAACACCATCAATGAAGGCAGAATTTCAACATTGGTGGACATTATACTCGTAATTAAAGCGCGATGACTTGCTTTATACACTAACATGTATAATACATGTTCTAGCATCTTTGTCATTCCCCCTTGACTTTAGTCCCTAATATTTTTTTTTTGAATTTGATCCCTTAAGTCTTAATTGTTTTAAATTAGTAAAATTAAATTTTATTTTGTAAAGTTGAATTTTATTTTACAAAAGTGAGTATCAACCGTGCACCAAAAGTTTTCCTAAACATAGTGGGATCCCCATATCAGGCTACTAAAAAACATTATTAAGTCCAATCCCAAATAAACTTTATGTAAAAAGATTAATTTTTTTTTAAAAAAATTAAGACATAAAAAGGGCTAATCTTTTCTTTACTTGTGTAATTTAGTTCTTGATTCTTTTAAGAAATGAAAGAAAAAAGGGTTGAATATATGTTTATTGTTTAAATTTGATCTTTCTAGCTTCAATTATTTTAAAACAATAAAATATCAATTAATTTTGTCAAATTTGAGTATCATAATTTTTTCTCGACACCTTGAAATCTTATAATCTAAACAACCAAAACAAACCATCAATTCTAATCTCAAACCCAAATAAACACAACTTCAAAGTAGTAAAGAAAAAATTAAAGAATCAAAATAAAAAAAATTTTGAGGATAAAATTATTTTTTAAAAAGAAGAGAACAATATGGAATGCTATTATAATTTACAATTTTTTCTTTTTGAACCATGAAATCATCATACCCTTATTTTAATTTTTAATTGTGATTATAATTTTTAAAAATAAAAAACTTGTTCTTTTTTATTTTTTTAATAAAAAAATACAAAATAAAAAATCACCATCCAATGTTTTAACCCCACCTCATGTGGTTTTGAAATTTTTTAACAATAGGTTGGATTTTTATGTTTTGCAAAAAAATGAAGAAGAAAACAGTCAATTTTTTTAAAAAACTTAGATTTTAAAAACTAGAAAATAGAAAATGAAAATCATACATATACTTTTATTTTGTCTTTGTTGAAATCGTTTGATTTCTTTTTAAAATTTTTCTAGACGTTGATGCATATGTTTTTGTGGGCTTAGTCCCTGAAAAAGGCAGAAGAAAATGAAAATGACTCAATCTCAATCCAACTCGGCCCAGTTGCTCCGTCCCGCCTATACTCTCTGTTGTTCGTAGCTTAGAAAACCTAAGGTAAACCAAAAAGGATAGGAAAATAATAAATAAATAATATAAAAACAGTAACAAGCGGATAAGTAGAAACAGAACCACAGAGCTGGTGATAACTGCAGACCGTCGTTGCCAAAGAGATCTAATGGAGAAGTACTTTGGAAATGCATACAGAGGAGACCCTGGCGTCCCACACGCAGACCCAGACAGGTTCGTCAACATTTGGATCGGGTCGGCTGCGTTCTCTATTCTCACCTGGTCCAATCCCTACCTTTGGACTCTCACTAATCAGTTCAAGTAGTCTTTTTATCCCTTTCCTTTCCTTTTGTTTTTAATTTTTTGCAATTTTTATGCTGCTTGTTTGGCTCTGTTAAGGGTTTTGTACTGTTTATTCAGGAGAACCCATTTGGTTTTTCAATTTACATGGAAATTAATTTAGATCAGTCACTAAATAAAATTTGAAATTAACATATTTAAGGATGTTTGTTCGACTCTGGTTTTTTTTTTTTTTCCCATGTTAATTTTTATCTGTTTAAGGGTGTCTTATGGATTGGTTCTTTTGTTTTAATTTGCATTTAAGGGTGAAAATCGTTAATTAAAAAAAAATCTATAATGAGAATGACCATCCTTCACCACCAAAAATCTAAGGGTTTAAGTGTTGTGTGAAAAAATAAAGCACAATTTGGCCGTGGAATTTTATGAGATATGAAGTTATGGTGTAACTTTTGGGAGGTTTCCCATATTCTGAACCTGTCTGTTTTCTCTTAAAAGGATTATTTTTATGAAAAAAAAATAATTATGAGTTCATGGAAAATTTTGGACGGAAATCGTAGCCATTACTTTAATGTATATTGGCCCTTTTGCATGTGCTGTACGAGATTGTGATTTATGATTGTTTTGTGGTTCCTTACTACTTTAAGGCTTGTTTCAATGTATAGCAAACTGAATTTGAGAACTGGATGATTCATCTAACTTCTTCTAGTTTGATGCAACCGTAAAAGAGCAACCTTTGTACTCTAAGCCTTCAAAAAGTCTTCATTTCTCTCTTGCTCTTCCAAAATGATAACCTTTGGTTACATGAACATGCATCTTGTAGTTATCTGAGAATTGCTGTCGTAAGTATTTATGTTGTTAAAGCATACCTGAATATTTTTACCATTTTTTGGGGCTTTATTTTGGTTGGTTTTTAGCAAACGAATTTTGTTTCCATCTCACATTTTTTATACACTTCATTGTGCAGTTGGCATGACAAGGCATTTTTATTTGAGCAGTATCATTGGAAAAAGGCAATGAAGAAGAAGGAGCCATATAAATTTAAGGTGCACTATTTGGCTAGCTTAAGTTAAATCTTTTCAAATGAATTACTTTTGATGGTTTGTTTATTTTGTGCTTGCTGTAACTAGTTATAATCTATCAAACTGGAACATTAATTTTCATGTCTATTTTCTTTGTTGCAGTGGAATAAAATGGACAGAGAGGTTCGTGATTCATATTATTTCAACTGGCCAATCTACTTCCCATAGTTTCAGAAGCATGTTCTATAGTGAACTTTGAAAACAATATGAATAAGCTTATGCTTTCCTCGGTATCCAATTCACCTGCTTTCTTTTTATTTGTGCTTGTACTGGTGGATTGAAAATCTTCAATTAGCATCTCGATTTTTGTTTGTTTATGTTTTATCGAGCACTGGGTCTTTAAGTTGCCTTTTGCGAGTGTATTTAGTGTAGAAAGCTCTGGGAAAGACAAGGTAAATGGTTAATGTGTGCTTTAATTTGAAGAGCAAGTTGGCAATGAGGAAAAGGAAAACAGTTGATTATGGGAGATCATTTTACACGAAAAGAGTAGTCAGAGAATCTGAACAGATTGATATAGGTTGTAGTGACTTGTCCTTTCATTGTATAGAATGTGCTCTTTAAAAATCTAAGAGATTGTTGTGATGCTGTTGGATGTGAAGATGGAAGAAAAAACTTCGATAATCACCGTTTGAATAGCATTATGAATTAACAAGCTTATCCGCCATGAATGGCGAGGGGGCGGCTGCACCTTATTTATATCTTGTAGGAAAATAAGTCCTCCTCCAGCTTCCTTTGTGTGGGGGCACGAATGACTGCATTAGCATCTCACAAATTGATATAATGGCTATGCATGGATTTTGCGAACTGGTTCTTCTATTGTCTCTTAGATTGAACATGTATGTATAATCTTTTGAAAGCTTACTAGAATGATTTATGGCCTCCCCAGCTTTAGATTTTACTTGGATCATTGGCCCGCAGCTTATCTTGAATCTTCTTCGTCTTCTTTTTTTATTAAGTATTGTTAACAGGTTTTCTGGTTGAAGGTTGAAATATCAGGATTATATGTGGTAATAAGTATTATTTATAAGGATTAGAAAGTTAATCTTCTAATATAACTTATTTTTCTTATTAAATTGCTAAAAGATTTTTTGAAGATTTTCTACCATAATATCTATTTTTTTACAACTTTCTATAATTATTCCAAAAGCTAGCAATAATTATAGAAAAATTAATATTTTGATAATTTTCACTCATTGTATTGAAAAACATAAAAATAAGACAAAGCTTGTGTGTCATCACATGTAAAGCATATCTGATAAAATTATAAATGAAATATTTTAAAATATTCATGAAATATCTTTTTATTATTTTTTTATGTATGACTGACAAATAAGGTCCTGACCAATTTTTAAATTTACACTTAAGATTTTTTTGTTAAGTAAAGAAAATTTTTATTTTATAATGCAAAAATGACAACTTTTTTCTGTTAAATGAAGGCTTTGAGTAATAGTCAGCTTTAGTTGTAGGAACATTTTGATAACGTCATTAAATTTAGTCTAACAGTTAAATTTGAAATTGTTTAACTTAATTTTTCATATAATTCGAGTTTTAAATTAAATAAATAAATTAAATAAAAGTGATTAGGTTGACTTTGTAGTAAAAAACTAATTCATATAAAAATATGGTTTAATTTATTTTTTTAAAAAAATATAGAGACAATAATATATTGAATTAACTTAAATAAACTTACAAAACCTATAATTTGATTTAGTTTAAGAATTTGAATTTTTTAAAATTAATTTTTATTTAATTATATGATAATAAAAAAATATTTACAATAAAAAATAAAATTAAATTAAATAAAACTAATTTTTTTTTGTTATTAATGAAGATAATTTTTATTTCATAAAACAAAATTAATAAGTATACCTTATTTATTCTAGAGTTTTTCTGTTAAGTCAAGGCCTTCGGCCATTGCCCAAGTAACCCTTAGACTTTAGTCATAAAAAACATTTTGATAACAGTATTAAATTTATTTTAGTAATTAAATTTGAAACTTTAATTTGATTTCTTATCTAATTTGAGTTTTAAATTAAATAAATGTGATTAGGTTGACTTTACAAGTTAAAAAGCAATTTAAACAATTGATAAAAACATGGTTAACCTTATTTTTTTTAGATATTTCTTAAAAAAAATAATATTGAAACAATAATATATTAAATTGATTTAAATGAATTTATCAAATTTGTGATTGACTTGGTTTAATAATTTTATTTTTTTAAAATTAATTTTATTTAATTATAAGATAATAAAAAGAATACCCACAATAAAAAAATAAAATTAAAAAAAAAAGATTATGATGGTCAACACCCATAACAACGTTTACTAATATTAAAATTATTTTTTATAATTTTATTTGAAAATAAAATAAAAACCAAATGGTGTTATATAAAATAATATATAAATACATTTTTAATAATTTAAGAATTTCATAAAACAATACACTTAATATATTTTAATTAACTAATTTGTAAGAAATTACATTTAAATTACAGGAAGAAGAGAAAGAAGAAGAAAGAGGCTAGTTACGTTGGCAAGAACCTTTAAAATAAGCACAGGCGCATAGGCTTGCTAACCCAAGCTCACGTGCATAAGCCTTCTCCGTTACATAATGAGATTTGATGGATAATATATTGTTTGTCCAATTTATTTTTTTAAAAGTAGATAACACTTCGTTTATATGCCCAGTTTTTAGTCATTGATAGGTGACAAAAAAATGGGTTAGGGTATTTTAAACTTAAAAAAACAAATTTTAACATATTTTCTAGATAACATATAAAATTAAAAACATTTTAATGACACTCTTCACAACAAGATAAATATTTTAGCATCAAACTTGACTTTTTCTGTCAAAGAAATCTTGACAATCAAATATTTTTCTATCTTTCACTGCTTGCAATGATTCTTTTTCTTATTTTTCAAACTTAAAGGTTGATATGCAAATAAAATGAGGTTTTCGTCTAAAATGTAAATGTTCAAACAATAAGGCCGCGAAGATGAAGTGGAAAATCCAATAGGCTATTCTCACAGAAAAGGGTGCTGGATGAACAATAAGAAAGAAAGAAGAGAAAACCTTTTTTTTTTTTTTATGTTAAATCGAGCATTTCATAATTGTTTTTGACACCATTATAATCCTGTAAAGTAACTCAAAATGAAATATCAAACCCAATCCTCATGGAAGGTCATGCATAAGGATAAAATTAAAAAAAATTTCAATAACAGGACAAAAATAAAATAAAATAAATCTGAAAAAGACAAGGAAGGACATCCACCTTTTGTTTTTTTGGGTAACCAACTTAGCTGTTAGATAGTAGCATCCTTTTGAAGGCCATGTTTGCGCGCACAGCAATTACAAAGCTTACGCATCATAATAATAATAAAACAATTGTCATGATTTGAGCACTGTTGACGTTTCTTTTCTTCGGATCAAAAGTTGAAACTCATTCAACAACAGAAACATCAGTACACAGCAGCAGCTGGAGCCTGGAGGAAAGGTAACCTAAATTTTTTTGCCTTCCTAGCTACCCTAATACCGGCCAGAGCTTGCTTCCCTGGGAAATGAGAATATTGTGAACAGTAGCATTGTTAATCCTTCCCAGCCATATCTTGGCTTGAGCAATGATTGCCATAATATCCCATGGAATTAATCTGCGGTCATCGCTAAGATTTTCAGTGACTATCTTAGCATCAGACTCAAAGCAAGCATTCAGTGCTGCGTTGATAGTCGCCTCTTTAGCTTCAGCCTGCAAGATTGAGGAGACCATGCAACCCCTGGAGGCCAAT